GCAGATGCGTCGAAGCCGGAGACTGAGAAGCCAGAGGCCCAGGAGAAACCTGCCTCGAGCGGTGGTGGCGGTGGATGGTGGGGTGGTATCTTTGCAACCGCCAGCGCTGCCATGAAGCAGGCTGAGGCAGCGGTCAAGGAGATCCAGCAGAATGAAGAGGCTCAGAAGTGGGCTCAGCAGATTCAGGGCAATGTGGGAGCTCTCAAAGACCTAGGTATGATTCTCTACCTGACTTCGCTTTCTTCTGAATGGCTGCTAACGACAAACCACCAGGTGGGGAGCTGCGCAACATGGCTATTCCTACGTTTACCTCTTTCATCCACACGCTCGCCCCTCCCATCTCGTCCCATGAACGTCTTCAAATCCACGTAACACATGATTTGTCCGGCTACCCCAGCATCGACCCTCTAGTGTACGCGGTGTTCTCGCGCGTGATGGCGCAGGTCGAAGGCGGGGATCTCCTTGTCATCCAGCGGGGTCAGGAGTCAGCCCCGAAGCGCGGACTGGATATCGGCGGCGCCCAGTTCTCTGGCCCGGGCTGGCATGATGGCCCATGGTGGCGCACCGTGACGCCCGGCAGCCCTCGCACTCTGTCGGCCATCCGAGGCACAGTCGAGGCCACCAAGCTTGCGCGGGCCAGTGCCGAAGCCTACGCTACTGAGTACTTCTCGGCCAAGGGCGGCGTCGAAGCGGCTGCCAAACAAGCTACCCAAGATCTGAGCGAGACCAACCCGGTCCGCAGCAGCGACATCTTCCTCGCGATCCAGGCCATTAGCCAGACCACCTCCACCGAACTCTTCCAGGCGGGTCCCACAACCGACCAAGCCACTCCAGCAGGCGTTGTCGATGTGCCCGAAGCCGCCGAGGAAGAAGTCGTCTTCGCACTGTACCTCCACGACCCCATCCACGGCATCGCCTTCCACACGCTCTCCCAGGCCATCCCTCAGAAATGGATCGACTGGCTCGAGACCCCCGCTATTCCAGTGGAGGACCCTGAGTCCGAAGACGCCAGCGTCCCTCGTACCACCATTCCCGACGACATCGCCGACATTATCGAGAACGGCGGCGTCGACCCCCGAGAATGGGCTGCCGAGTGGATCGAGGAGAGCCTGTCCCTGGCTGCGGGGCTGGTTGCACAACGCTACGTGGCGCGGAGAATGGGCGTCGGCGAGGGCGGACCGGCCAAGGGCAAGATGCGTGCTGAGCAGGCATCCGTGGTGGATAGTGGCGCAGGCGAGGCCGCACGCGCGATTTAGAGTTAGGTTGATGTGGTGGATACGTCGATCAATCCTGTTCTTATTCCTTATCGTATTTGCGTCTTTTTCATCTTGTCTGTCTTTCTTGGGGCGTTTGTCAACCCTTCACATGACCACATGATACGATACGAACCCCTCTCCCCTTACACTTTCAACCCCCACATATTCTTATCTTCGTTCTATTGAGCCACGACATGACAGCTTCTCCATATTCGCGCCATCTGCGGCGTCCTTAATACCATATACATACAGACGCAGACATACCTTGAACTAACCGCGTATCCAACCAGTCCCATGTACATATGACAGACTTATGCCAAACAAATAAATACAACCAACGCAGTCTACGCCATCTACTACACGTGCCCACATCCAACCTTTTAAAAATGAACAAAATAGCAATCATATTGTATTCCAAATTTTCAGGGAACATAAGTAGTAACAAACACAACCTTTGCGGGTATCTAAGGTAGTAAGTAGTAAACCAGATAGTAACAAGCAGACAAGACACATAAGTCTCCTTATCACATCATCTTCAATTTACAAGGTCGTTATTCCATTCCATTTTGCGTTACGCACACGCATCATGCCTGAATCGGATTGATTCAATCCAGATGCAGCAATTGCCCTTCCAGGCCAGGAACATGCCAGAAGTTGGCGCGGAGGGCGGTGACACTACACGTTATTATTAGCATTATCCTTAGGAAGATTCCAAACAAGAAAGAATAAGAAAGGAAACGGGGGGTAAACCAACCTAGTACAGCCACTCAAAACCGTATGAGCATCCGTTCCCTCCGGACTCTCCTGCAACGCCCTCTTCATATCAGACAACTCGGCCGCCCAGGCAAAGTTACGTTTCTTCAAACCACCACCACCCTCAGTCTTTGGCGTGACTGTCTTCGTGGTACTACCATTCGTGAGCTGCTGCTGCTCCTCCTCCCCATTAGCAGCAACAGCAGCAGCATGTCCATTGACACCACTAACAACAGGCGCGGCCTTCTCCCCAGAGACTTCCGAATACAAGTACCCTCTCGCCCAGTAATACGGGTACGTGCGAGTCCACAAGACAGGACGGGATTCGACGTCCAGACGCATGGGCACATTCACATTATACAGCTCGACCTGGTCATCCCAGTTCTGGATGAGATGGTTAACGACTCTAGTGGCGAGACGAGCCGCAGCGTGGATGATATCTAGGGGCTGTTCATCTTTGCTGCCGAAGGAGATGGCGATGCCGCGTTTCCCGCATGTAGCCGCTTCCAGGGCGCCGCCGACGGTGCCGGAGGAGAGGTTGTAGATGGTGGAGGCGTTGCGGCCGTGATTGGGGCCGGAGATGACGAGGTCGATGGGGCCGCGGTCGGGGAAGAGGTTGTGGAGGCCGAGTTGGACGCAGCTGGCTGGGGTGCCGTTGGTGATTATCACCCAGTCGTCGTTGGCATTGTTGGTGGTAGTGGGATCTTGTTGGAAGGATTCATCCCATGTGCCATCACCGCGAAAGGCAGCGGGTGGGACATAGGTGGCTGTGAGTGAGGCTTCGATTAGATGGGCTTTGCCGATCCAGGAGCGGGAGGCGGCGGGAATGGCCACGGAGATGCGGTGGCCGGCGGACTCGAGTGCCGTCACTAGTGGCTCGATGTATGGGGAGAGGCGTCTGGACGGCGGACCGTCATCGTTGACTACCTGATTATTTTGTTTTTGTGTTAGTGTGTGTGTGCGCGTGTGTGTTTGTTTAGCTAATTGAGACTAGTCATGTAGCTTTTCGTGCTCCGTATACGGAGGGAGGGTAGACAGGTAGACAGGCAGGTAGGTAGGGAACATGGGGGTTGGCAAAGAAGCGGTGACATTGGGCAGCACATGTAAAGTTCAATTGATGATGACAAGGAGGGAAGATGTTTAAAAAAGCAAAAGCAAAAAAACATACCAATATATGCATGATGAAGGAAGATCTAATAGATGTTTTTGACTCGTGTTGGGGCAATAAGAGAAGAATAATGGTATATTCTTTTTCTTTTTCTTTTCTGGAATCGGATTGGATTGGATTGATTGACTGATTGAATTTGATGCTTCGGACTTTTGAAATCGGAATATACAAAAGCAGCGACCTATAATTTCCCAACTTTTTTCTTTTCTTCTCAGATTCCAACACACTCTCTCACACACACACGCACGCGCGTTGCACTCTTTTTCGCTCTTCTCCGATGGGAAAAAAAGTGGATGGATCCGCACTGGGATTATTTTGGGGCTCGGGGCTCGGACTCGGATTCAGGGTTCAAGTTGCAGTTTGTATTGCAGTGATAGTGTATTATGATATATGATAATTGCTTCTCCAGATCAACATCTGCCAGCTGTTCCTTCCCCCCCGGTATTTATAGGGAAGATTTAGCTGGGTAATCGTTGAGCCCGACAGCCATTTTCGATCACCGTTTACCCCGACCTCGAAGAGAAACCGGGGAGAATCTGGCCTCCATCTCCAAATCGGTCACGGTGAAGCTGTTGCGCTGCGGGGGGGGGGGGCGTTGCCCTGAAGACGTCAACTGTGGTTGTGAGCCTCCGTTATGACGGTGACCGGACGGGTATGGGACAGTGCTTGAACTATGAGATGGAAAGTATTAAACTCGTAATATTACCGTATGTGACAGGACGGGACGGAGACCAGCCGAGGGACGCCGAAAAGAGGCTGCGGTGAGGAAAAGCAAAGCCTGCGATTAAGTCACACCTCGTGGGGATTTCAAGAAGACGAATCGGACCATCCAGAACGGGTGCATTTCCAAGGAGGGAATTCGCCCGGCCTGAGAACTCGGCAGTGAGACGGTCAGCTGAGGAGAAAAGAAGAAGAAGAAGAAGAAGAAGAAGTGATTCGGGTTATTATTTAGATAATAGATTGATTTCGTCAAGTAGATCTTTGAAGAATAGTATCCCCGTCGCATGTCAATAGTAGGGCATTTCATCGGGGCACCCCTGTGAAACGACACTATGTCGGTCATGGCTTTAAACTACTACGAACTAGCCAGATGTCTAGTAGGATAAGAGGGTGATCCGAGCATGATGGAAAATACCCCGTAGAGTAAGGCACCAGGAGGTGCAGGCAAGGTGACTGACTATGGGGCTCGGAGCAAAAAGCAAAGGAGGAAAAAGAAGGAAACAAGAGCATCATCAGGCGGCACACGTTCAATGCAACACAACGATTGCCTCAGATACCCTAGATTAGACTACAATAAGGTAGACGGCAGAAGACCAGATAAATCCGACAAGGAAATTGTGGTCACCAATCAGTTGGGATACCAAGGGAATGCTACTCTTCCGTACATATGCACTGAAAGCCCCTAGTGTCTGCATACTTCTTCACGTAGGGGACATTAAGACACACACATCTACTTAGATCCTGGCATCAGTGTGCCATTTAGTGCTGTTGGCTTATCTACGGAGGGTTTTGAACTCTTCGGGGTAAAAGAGGTCATGTGTGTATGCATATTCTTAGGTAAGATGATCATACTGATCGATTAATTATTACACATCACTCATGAATAATCGGTAGAATAATTATCACGACACCCACCTACTAAGTACTAACTAACTATCTATCCACACAAAAGTCCAGAATGGCACACAGGTGTGTGCGGCTATTGCAGGCATAGAGTGGTCCCGTGCCCTACAGATTATTAGTGATTATTGTTGGTGGTTTAGGTTTTCTTTGCTCTTGTCTTTTAAAAATTTTTTTTTTTTTTTTTCAGACCCTGATGGGGCCACACTATGAATTTTTATATGCGAATCCTGAACGGGAAATGCAAACCCACGTCCACTTCCCAACCAGCCATGGACAGGCTTTTAGAATAAGAATCAGGACTACTGTGCTGGGCCGCAGGACCACACACGCTGATTGCTCAGGAGCGTCTTATTCTTAGTTGGAAAAGCAACCACGGTCCCATCCCACCGGCGCCAAGTTGCCAATCATTCCTCTCGGCGGGTCAGTTCTATTCACGCTTTGCTCCATGGCGTTGTGGTTACTCCGTGGTAGCCGCGAGTCAAACAGCCCCTCTGACCACCGGCACCTGGACCGACCTTTTCTAGCAATAATATCGATCCATCCGCGGAGGACAGCCCCCCGTAGTCGGTTTCAACGGAAATGATTTTCTCACGTAATCCTCGACTGTCATGTTGGGCCATGAACGCTATCACTCACCAACCAGGATTGGGGTGGTCAGTAGTGTGTGTGTGTGTGTGTGTATGCACCTTGCACTGGCTTAATGGCTGCAAGTGGTCGTTGTGTCCGTCGGTCCTCCTTGTTCATTGTAGGTTGCAGTAGTTTCAGGCGCGAGGGGACGATCCACGGCTTGACCCCTCTTTGTACCGCGTTGGTTTGTAGGGAGGACCCCTGAGGATCAAACTTCGACGGCCATGAATAGATAGAGAGGTGTACGTACTAGTAGTTGTGTGGTCGCGGTGTGTGTGTGTGTGTGGTTTCCCCTCATCATGGTCAGGGATAAACGCTGGACCAGCTGCAAGATAGATTAAGATTAATATACGGTAGAGTGAGTCAAGTGGCAGGCAGCTGCCATCGATGAGTGAACGAGGCCGCGGAGGAGGAACCCAGCTCGTGCGTATGCGGACCTGGTCAGTGCGGAACTTATCAGAGGAATTAGTAGAATTAGTAGAATAAATCCAAGTATGTTTAATGCAAGCAGCACCTCGGAGGCCGATCGTCGCAAAATCTTTGGTGGGGAAGACCAAGCAGCGCCAACCCAGTCGGTCCAAGTCAGTCAGCCACGGACGCCGATTTTCTGCTCGCTTCGTCAGTCCAGCACTGACTATCCATCTTCTCCCTTTCACTCCTGCTTCGTGCATCACTTTCATCATCGCCCTTTACGGTCATCATCTCCATCATCATCCCTGTCCGCTTATATATCTAGCGGTCCTTCCCCTCTTCCCGATCACCACCACCAACAACTACTACTACTAACTCCGAACCTCCGCCATAACCCACCCAAACCCACCGCCCGCTTCGGTTCCCAACAGACTCAGGAACGCGCCAAAGACCTGCTCCGGCTTCTCACAAAGGTCTTTCTTACAACACCATCCCCCTTCCATCTGCCCCCCTGTATGGACTGCGGGACGACTGGCACGGCTGCGGGCATCGACCCCAAAATTCTAGATAACTGGCAATCGGATACTTTTCCGATCTATTCCGCTTACGATCAACCGCTGGAGTGGGATGCGAGCCAGGACTCGAGTCCAGGCGATGCGGATGTCGTGGATCTGAGCAACCTTCGTGGTCCGCTGTCGCGGGACCAATCCACCGTCCCGGTGGTAGGTCATGCTGGCGATTATCAAGGTAGTGAGAGCAGGTGCGACTCGTCTCATCTCCCCTAACCTTGGAGCTTCCCGCTGACAGGTACCCCTCCCCGTGCAGCAGCAAACATGGTGCCACTTCCCCCGGAAAGTTCAGCATCAACGACGGTCCTATCGAAGGCACCGTGAGTGGTACGATCAGCCCCAGGACGCTGCCCTCTTCCGCCGACGACAATTTCCAGCTGGATGAGTCATGGCCGCCTTTTCAACTGTTCAACGCCATGACGGCTGGCCTTCCCATGGAGGCTCCCCTTATGTACCCGTACGCTAAGGAGCCTGCCTCCACCAACACGGTTATTGTAGAGGATACCGGAGAGTTGCCGCAGGGACAGGGCTTGTCCGATCTTCCTCCCGATCCGTTCCTCTCCTTCCAGAATATTCCCCAGGCGTTCCCCTTCTCGACCGCTGAGACTTGGACGGCACCGACTGCGCCCGCTCCCACGGACAACCTGCCTAATCAGACCCCGGTATCTCTGTCGATGGGTCTGCAATCAGCTGCCAAACGTCCAGGACACATCCGCGACTACCAGGGTTCGATGCGATCACTAGATTCTCGCTGGCTTGAAGGTCTGGAGTCTCAGCTGTCTTCCAACATGACATCGCCTGCATCCTTGTCGATCCCCCAGGACGCGACATTCTTCAAGGAGGAGAGAAATCAGCATGACGGCTTGCAATACAAATCGGAGAGTTCTTCGGTTTCTGGAGATTTTCCCAGCGTCTACGAACCGTACCCCGCTAGCAACGATGAGATCCCCGCTTTTGCCGATCGCCAACTCGAAGACAATGGACTCTGGAAAGATACACAGAAGGAGAGCACTTCTTCGGAGACATCTCAACCCCTACAAAATGCGACCGCCTTCATGGTCAGTGAAGACCCATCGGAGGCCTACTTCACGCCGGTCTCTGCAAGACCCAGAGCCTCGTCATCTGCGCAGAGGGCGCCCGCTCGGCCACAAGCTCTTGCACTCCAGACAGTGGCCACGGTCAGAAAGCGCAAGCAACGCAACTCAAGCGTGCATCTGGACCAGAACCTGCCCAAGCCTTTGCAGATCGTGCAGGAAGACGGCCAAGGAGGATCTATTGCTTCAGCAGATTTCATATCACCACCTCGGGGAGCGCGCCGCAAGGGCCCTCTGAGCATGGTCGGCAGGGCCAATGCTGGTCTGCGGCGAAAGAACAAGGACACCTGTGTCCAGTGTCGACTGAACAAGCGCAAGGTATGCACTCAGCCGATCTAATTCTAGATTTGCATCTAACGAATTTGCAAGTGTGATGGCAACGCCCCGTGCGATGCTTGCCGCCCTACGCTCCACGAGCAGCCATGCGCACGTGCCTGCTTCGCCAACATCGTCGAGTACGGTACATGTAACTATGTTTGTATGTTGCGATCTCTACATCACTAGTATTGGTCCTTGTTGCTAACGGACACTAGCTCAACGAGCCATCAACCATCCCACCACAGATGGTGCTAGACGCATCCGGATGGACATTCCTTCTGAGTTCGACCTCAACGATCTGATCACATTCCTCGGTGAGCGACAAGGTCGATTCAACATCCGTGCCAAGCAATCCTGGGGATCCCTCTATGTCCTTGACCTTGGGGAGACCTACAAGTTCCTCCGCGGACTCAGCGAGTACAATGGCAACTCCAAGTCCAACTTCCTCGACTTCATCGATCGGCGCATTGTCGAATCGAAGGACAAGTCCAAGAACTGGCTCACATGCGTGAAAGACTGCGACCCGATGAACAATGTTTATGTAGGTGATCATTGATGTCTGCTTAATGCGAACAATTACTGACTTTAATAGTCCTTACTCTCGCAATGGAACAACATGCCTAGCCGTGCTAGCTACAGCTTCGTTCCTCTTCAAGCCGGAGGCCAGGAGAGAACCATGGACATCAACAACCCTGAGGACCGTCGCGAAATTCTCCTTGCAGCACAGTTGTCTCGCATCATCTGCCGCATGCTCGAGGTGGAGGGATTCCGAAAGCTGGAACGCGACTTCTACAACATCAAGTGGAAGCAGATCTCTCAAGAAACCCACCTGCGTTTCCTGAGCGAGCTCGGCCATATCCTGCTTACCCTCCGCTGGCGAGTCTCCTGGTGGCGGCGTCTCGGTGATGGCGGTCGCGAACCCGACCCCAGTAAGCAACATTACGTGGATCGGGTTGACCTACTTTGCCGGATTCTCTACGTCTACTACACCTGCGTTCTGGCCAAGCTTCCTTCCTGGTGCGCCGCCGATGTTCCCAAGGGCATCTGGAACACATATGCCGATGCCGAGAATGCCGTGTGGGATGACTTCCCAGTCGACCCTACCGACGAGGGATTCCGGAGGTGGATTGATCGCGGCCAAGAGCTCGTCGAGCAGTCCGGTGCCCCGACCTGTGTTGCGAAGCTAGGCAAGAACGCCTAGACGAGTCGACCTGGAGAAAAACAACCCTCAAAAAAAGACGGCGGATGGAATGATACTGAATTTGAGATACCCTTTGAAGCGATATAACTTTTGTCTCGTCTCCTCTACTTTTGCGTTATTATGAGTGATGATCCGTGCTAATTTTCGTGGATATAATTTTATTTGGGCTGTGTATATGTCATCTTTCTCATACATAGTTTTAGATTTCATTTTATTTCGGTTCTATGTTAATTCTAGACAAGCAAATCTTTGCAATAATGTGTAAAAGGGTATCGTATGTTCATTAATCATATACTGAACAGAATGAAGCAATAGCAACAGCAACAACAATACACACAGAGAACCCCAGCCCCATCCCACCTCCCCTCCACTCAAGCTGAAAGTTGATTATATATACCCTCTCTATTTCTTCACATTCCCCTTAGTATCCTTCTTCTTATCCTTCTTTCCTCCCGCCAACAACTCCAAATGTCCCGCCTTCTCTGCAAGATTCTTCTCCGTCCGGGCCACCAATCCCGCCGTGAGTTTCTACACATATCCCCATGATTAGCATTACTGAACCACAAATACTAACCACCAAGGAAATAATGGAAAGAAATACCTTAGTCAACTTCTGCTGCTTAACCAACGTCGTCTTCTTAGGTGCGATTTGTCTCGGTCCGCGCTTGGGGCCGAGGGCTGAGGGACTGCACAAGATTTCACTGAGGTTAGCTTGATTGTTTTTCATCTCCTCGCTTCTTGGTGCCGTGCGTGGAAATGAATGATCCATCAAGTTCCCCAATATCTCATTCATAAAAAGATAATTGGATGGATGGGTAGGTAGGTAGGTATCGACGTACCGCTTCACAAGATTCCCACTGTTGCCCGCGGGCTTCTTCTTAAGGGATCCTTGGACCATGGTTGCAATTTAAATTATTATGATTCTTTTCTTTGGTGTAGAGAAGGTAGCTGCCTGCAGCGATGGTTGTGTATGTATGTATGTCGGTTCAGAGGTGTGGTCGCAGTCGGGTCGGAGAAAAGAAAATTGCTTATCGGGAGGGAGTGCGGGCGGAGTTGTGGTTGCTGGGGGGTTAGGTTGCTTATCGATATATCACGTGATTAGATCTAGCTTACTATGGAGGGAGTGCATGGTTGATAGTTAAGTAAGCTAAGCTTTGGGGATACAATTTTATGGTGTGTACATACTAATAATTGCATAATTAATTACTTGGGCACCATGTATGTGTGTATAAGGGAGCTAGCTATGTGACAGTGTTATGATCTGCATGTGCATGTTGGATTGTTGGATTTCTTTTGTCATCTGTTGGTATGGGAAAGGGGGGCAGGGGATGATGGGATGGGGTCGAATTCTTTGCAAGTTTCAGTTTGAGATGCGGATGCGGTGTAAGCCGTTGGTATGGATACATACGTAATAAAGAATAAGAGAGTTAGATTAGCTTGAAGATGAAGGGATGGAAGGGAAATTGGCATCTTAGATTATCAGTCATTGATAGGATCGAGGGGGTTCCATTTAGATGAAACATTAGTGGGAGATCATTTACTGTGTATAGACCATCTATCCTACATTTCTATGTGGAAAGCCTTCTAAGGCTGATTTACGATGTACTATTTAAATGTTCATGATTATTGCAGCTCTGGTATAATACAATGCTCTTATTATTACCCTTGCTCATTAACTATGGGGGTATATTGTCATAAGTAAAGAGTCGACGAATCGAATCGAATCGCTGCAAACGTAAATACTCTCAACAACTCACTCGCGCTCTTGCGCGTTCTTGTACATACAACTGTCTCAGCTAGGTACATCCTCCATCACTTTACAAATTCCTTAAGAATGCTGGATTGCTGCTCCGCTTAGAAAGCAAGGACGGCAGCGACACCGACGGCGACGGCGCCGAGGCTGATGGCGTTGCGGTCAGCAGCACCGGTGAAGACGGGGGAGACGGAAGAGCTGCTGGCAGCAGGGGTGCCGGAGGGAGTGGCAGAGCTGCGGATGAGGCTAGCAGAGCCGGAGGCAGTGGGAGCAACGACGAAGCTGGAGGGCTTGTTGCCACCGACAACAGGGACAGAGGTGAAAGTGGGCTTGACGTCGGCAGTGGCGGTGGCAGTCTCAGGGCAGATAGTGCTGGTGATCTTGCTGATGATGACGCTGGTCTCGGAGGCATCAGAGCTCACAGCAGCGGCGGCAGTGGTGCTAGTAGCAGCGGCAACAGAGGAAGAAGAAGAGTAGGCAGGGTTGGAGATGCCGAATTGGACGGAGTACTGGTACTGGCCAGTGCCCTCAACAACGAGAAGGATGCCGTAGTGGGTGGTGTCAGGCTCGAGGGTGGTGCTGGGAGTCCAAGAGTAGCTGCCAGAGTTGCCGATGTCTTCGACGATGGTCTGGATGGGGACAACGTTGGTGCTGGGGCCACGGAGAAGGACCAGAGACACGCTACCCGAGGTAGTAGGGTCCCAGGTGATCTCGAAGGGCTTGCCAGCAGGAACAATCTGGTTCAGTTCGGGAGTGAGGATGGCATTGCCGGTGGGGCTCTGAGAGTAGTCGGGCTGAGTGTAGGCAGAGGCCAGGGCCGCAAGGGCAGAGACGAGGGCAGTGGTGAAGAAACGCATTTTTTCGATTTCACTTTCGTGTCTTGTGTGTGATGTAAAGAATGATAGTAGGTAGGGATATTGGAGAGTGTAATTCAAAGAGTGACTGGAAGTAAAACTTCGTGTATGTAGTGCAAAGGAGTGACTACCGTGGGAGAGGGCGAAAATGCGAGGGACGTCAAATCGTGAGAAGGGAAGGAGAGAAAGAGAAGGAGGAGGGGGGGGAAAGGAACATTCAAGTATATGAATGATGGGGATGTGACAGGCGTAGGACAAGTCCCTTCACAGCCCCCCCTCTCAATTCCCCCCTATGGAGGGGATGACATTCACTACAACCTACCAGGCTCCAAGCCCAACATCGCCAAATCTGCGGCTCATTTCCCGGTGGGTCAAGGGAAATTATTCTTTCTTTCAAATTGCTGATTGGGAACTTGCTCAGGAACAGCGTTCAAGACTACTGCTAGCTACCTACTATTGCCTGGTTAGTCTAAGAGATGCCTGGTAAACTTTGAGAACGGTGGAATGTATGGAGCCTACCCTTCCCCGACTAAACCTTGCGAAATGAATAAGCGATGTCACCTCAAGCCAGTATGACTCTCTGACTGGCTTACACGGCGGTTTAGTCCGCTGTTAGTCCGCTTGGATCGCTCCCCTCCATCGTGGATATGCTCAAAGATACTCGGAGGCGTGGGCCACTCAGAAATTGAGATAGATTGAGACCGCAGATACGAGGGATGAGCGGGGGTTCATCTGCCAGGGCGCTAACAGCCTAGCAATTTTAGGGGAGACATCGAATCAAGGCTCTCAGCCTAAGAGTGGGAGGAGGTATTTACTGAATGCTACCTGTGGGTAACAGTGTATATCCGCCTAAAACTAGGCTTGTTATTAGTACGGAGTAGATCAAACTAATGCCCCCGGTACCAAAATCCAGAGCGTAAATGTAAGAGAACTAGCCACGATATCGGCAATATGGTACCATTTGACTCAGAAGAGGGTCTCAGCTCTAAGCCGGCGAAGCCGTGGGACATGTGTAACAATCATAACCTTATGTCAGACCAAGCCAGGAACAACGGAGGAACCCCGAGAACGGAGAAGGGAGGATGTTGTTGTGATGGAAGGGAAATAGAGTAGAAAGAGAAGTTTGTTGGTGGAACTTGGCCCGCAAGGGATTCGCGCAAAACAAACAAACACCACCACCATCATCATTTACCTCCTTTCCTCGTCTGCTCGTCCCTCTTCTTCCAGCTTTGTTTCACTCCCAGAAGCTCGAGCGTTTTTATTTTTATTTTATTTTTTTTTCCCCCTCTCACACATCTCACATTTCTGGCAAATAACATCCGGAGACTTTTCCATTCTCAATGACATAGCCCGCAGGGCAAATTACCTGGGAAATTACATTCATGTAAAATTTACGATGGATGGATCAGTGCCCCTCATAAAGTGGTGCTTGATTGGCTTCGCCTTCCGGAGCCTTGCCAGCTTCTTCCGGTCAGTCTTGGTCTGGCACAAATGAGACATAGACACGCCACGAGGCCGAAGCGTTAAATCACCAAAGTGGCCAGGCACAGAGTTTAATTACCACTTCCGAATATTGGGACCAGAGGCACCCAATCCATCTCGTGTCCTCTCCAAAAAGTCCAAAGGCACCAAGGAACCTGTCCGGTGTCCCCACCCCCGTGTAATCGGATAGTCGCCTAAATTGCTACGGAGAAACACAAAAAAGTCATGTTACTACTACTACCCACGTATTCCCTCCCTTTTTTCTCTCCCGCTGGCTGCAGATCAACCGATTACCAAGGGGGCTCGGAACGAGACATTCATTCTGCAAACCGACCGTTCTACAATCAAGTCCCGCAAGAGCTGTGATCAACATCCTCAATGAAGTCATCCATGGCTATGTTGGGTGAAGATTCTCCGGTTCCTGTCGCTCATTCCTCGTTCCTGACTGGGTTAGTGGACCCTCGTTCCGACTGCCAATGCCACTAACAAGGCACGATAACTGATAACATGCCTTCGTTTCGGTCTTCCGTACCAAGGGAAAATGAAAATGACCCGTCATACTGCGAACCTTCAAGGGACAAGCACTCCCGCAAGTATGTACCTTGCAGATCAACCAAACAAAAACAAAGGACTGGCTTTTCTGAACACGCCTGCCAGTGACCTTCGTGTTGGCAAGCTATCTCCGCTCGAGGCCAAATTCCGCTGCCCACACAACATGTAGTCGTATCGCTTACCACGTGTGGGTGAGTGCAGGAATTTTCCCAGTGGCGTCGGAGACTAGTTCAAATGTCTCGGACTCCGATACCTGACCTTGCAGTCTGACTGCTCATGATCCATCTGCTGTGGATATCATAGGTGGCGGAAGCTTTCTAGTTTAGTTCACGCCATCACCAAAGACTGTCGGTGAAATTGTGACCAATTGCATCCCGGATTGCACCTTTCCGAAGACGTGCAGTGTTCTACACAATCCTCCGTGCACTTGCAGTCGTGCACAATATCCGACTTCCGGCGCTTGACAAAGCCTCCCAGGATACACGCTCTATTTACAGTAACAGTCGGTCGGTTCCTGGTCCGCCACCCATCAGCGAGCAGTGATAGACTACTGGTCCAGACTGTGAGAAAGGCTTGGATGCAACCGGGAGTGGCTCTTCCCGGTATCGCTAAATAAATTAATCAAACGAAAAGCCAAATAAGATGATGTGCTTCGTATTGCTGGGCCCTACTGAACCCTGCATCGAGTGGGTATTGTGATCAAGGGTCCAGTCCAGTCCCCTTCGCTGTAAGGATGCCAGCCATGGTCCTAATATCGAACTATTGGCATCGGTCTACTCCATGTGGCCTCTCATTCGTCTTCCTAGTGGACGACAACTTCCCAAAGGCCTCCAATTACAAACCCGACCAGGGATCGTTTGAGCGCTACGAGTCGGTGCAGTCCGCGCTCTTTCCTTATTCTACCCAAGTAATCGTCTTGGTTTGCAGCCACTCGTCGTAACCGGAGGTTCCTCCGAAGCGACCGTATCCGCTGCTCTTCCAGCCGCCATGGGGAAGAACAGGTTCGTCGTGCACGGTCAGAGAGTTGATGTGTACAGCTCTATTCATAGTCAAAAGGGGTCAGCAGATGGCACTTTCGGATCAGACGTAGAGCGATCTCGACCAGCATAACTTACCCTGCTTCAATCTGCTTGGCAACCCTGAGGCCACGGAACAAGTTACCCGTAAATACGGCCGAAGTAAGGCCGTACTCCGTGTCATTGGCCAATGTCACAGCGTCTTCCTCGCTGTCAACGACAATGAGGGATACAGTCGGGCCAAATGACTCCGTGAAGTACATGTCCATGTTCTTGGCGACATCGCCAACGATCACAGGCCGCATGCTGCTGTTGTTTAAGTCAACGGCCGCGGTGTCGCCATAGACAAGGTTGGCGCCTTTGGCAAGCGCATCCTCTACCAGCTCCTTGTTCTTCTTCACTGCAGCAGGTGCAACGAGGACCAATGCCGGCCCGTGCTTGCCGAATACTTTCTCCACCGCCTCCGCCATCATTTGCTTGAACCTGTCTGCAATAGACCGCTGTACTATAACGCGTTCCGTCGACATGCATATTTGTCCGGACTATGTTCGAATCAGCAGGCGATTCTATGCTAAACTGACCAACGTCTAAGCTCTTACATGCATAAAGGATCCCAGTGCACAGCACATGGCGGCCTTTTCCAGGTTGGCATCGTCCAAGACGATGGCCGAGGCTTTGCCTCCCAGTTCGAGGAGTACCGGCTTCGTATATTTGCCGGCAGTGGACGCGATGATTGAGCCCACTGTGGTGCTACCGGTGAAATTGATCTTGCGCACAGCCGGGTGAGCGATGAGGGCATTCGTGACCGCCGCTGCGTCCGAGGGACGGTGGTAAAGGACATTGAGACATCCCGCAGGAAGACCAGCTTCGCGATATATGTCTCCGATTGCCCAAAAACACTTGGGGGACAGCTCTGATCCCTTCAGAATCGTTGTATTACCTGCGGCGAGGGGTAGAGCGACTGCACGGGTTCCAAGGATGTAGGGAGCATTCCTACCGAGGTGATAATGTTAGCGACCATGAGACTGACGCGGAGCTAATGCCTTGTGGGAATGGGGATAGGTAATATACCAAGGCGCGATTCCCAATACTACGCCATATGGCTGCTTGATAACCATTGCGCACTCTCCATCTTCCGAAACAGACGGCACTGTACCCTCGATAGACGGGATCCGCGCCGCGAAGTCCTTCAAGAACCCGACTCCCAGCATAAAGGTTTTCTCCACAAACATACGTCCCGCACCTGTCTCCTCCATCTGATACCGAATCAATTCTTCTTTCCGGGAGAGCATAATGTCCGCAGCCCTAATGAGGATATCCCTGCGATCGTACGGCTTGGTCTTGCTCCATCCAGGGAAGGCGGCCTTCGCGGCCGCGACAGCACGGTTGGCATCGTCGACTGTTGCTCCGGCGCAACGGTCAATCACCTCACCCGTCGCGGGGCTCGTAACGTCGAATATCGTCTCGGTCACAGAGGACTCGTTGTTAATCAGGAGCGGGATAACCGCGGTATTTCCGTTGGGGTTCTTGGCAATCATGGCTTCTTCGAGGATTACTTGGATCTAGAAGGGTTTGGTCTATATGGCATTAGATTTAGGAAGGAAAAGAGATAGAAAGAGGGAGAGATGAACAGATAGATAGTTAGAGAAGTGGAGTGACACAGATGAGCAAGAGGGTATGGGGTTACGTTGAACCAAGTACCAACAATCCAGGGCAAAAAAAAAATGAGGGGAAAGGGTCAAACAGACGGGGTCAAAGACTAACAAATGGCGCGATAATGGAACAGCGCGAGACCCCAATAATCTATTTAGTCGCAGACACTGGTCTTGCTTGCATCTGCAGCCACAGAAGTGAGGGGGCAATTTTCGGGACTTTTCCCGACGTGATGGAGCCGAAAGATTGTCAATGATATTGCCCTTCCGGCGCATGGTTTGGAGGGCCCTCATCTGTGACTACGGAAGCTTCTGCATGGCTGCATACTAATTAGCAGGCAGATGTGCGCGTCTGTTGGAAAATGTCATCATGACTCGGATGTTGAGTGGGGGAGACTTCCCGATGGCACACATTGAGTGGATAGTCCCCCTGGATCATCTCCCAAGGTTAAAGCCGCGACTCACAACTTCAGCACCACTTGACCATGCGTGCCGACTGCGGAATTCCTCCTTTTTCCTGCACTTTCCCCCCACCCGGAGATAAGGTTGACGGTTGTAACGCTTTAGCCCCTTGTCAGCGCCGCCTCGGCTGTCACTCTCACTAGTACTTGCAGCTGGACAACCCACAAAATCGGGATGCTACTTCAAACATCGTTGTTGTAACTGAGAGTTTCAATGCCCTCTCACCCACAGGAAGATCGCGATAGGATCCCGCAGGTCCATCCTCTCTTCCCTTGCTGCGAACATTGGAGACACCAAATCGTTTGTCCCAAAGAAGTGTGTGGGCCTTACTTTCAACGGATCCAATGATCGTCAGTTTTTGGCCCCCTAGCGCAGCTGCCGCAACAGAAATTTGTCTGCTTATTGGTAGACACGGCTCGTGGCCTCCACTCCGGCAGATGCCTCAACTCGGGGTCGGTTAGGATCCAAACCAAAGTGACGCGATGGTCTACCTGGTAGCAAAGTTGCTGACAAAAAGCAGTCGGGGACCTCTGTGCGCAGTCTCAAAGAGACTCCGATCATATTCTAGACTGCCGAGGTAGGAAGGGAGCGTCCATTACTTTCTGACTGATATACTTTGTTCTGTTCTGTTATTGACACCCTAAGAGAGGTAAGGAGAGGCATAGCCTCGACACCGAGTATGGACGTGCAGCGGATAGATCTGTCCGACAACTGCAGGAGAAGTGATGTCACAATATCTAAATCTGGATATCTTCAATTACTATATCGCCTGTGTGAACCCCAACACCATCCATGCATGCTCCAAGATACGAACGATTTCTTTGGAAACGACAAAACCAGGAAACAAACAAGATAACCGGAACACATATGCCTGACGCCCGCTATGCTCTTTAAACATGTATACCATCCGTGACGTTCTATTACCATCCAGACAACCGACTAGTTCAGTTAGACCCGGCCCAAATCTTGGTCTCCGATGCCGGCTTCGCCATATCTGCGAAGGGGCATGCCGGGGTTGAAGTAGGGACCGTGCCACTGTGAATGCTTGAGCGGTCATCCTCACTCGAGCTTGCGGAGGTGCTGCTGTTATCGCCCAGGATCTTCTTGTCACCCAGGTACCCTTCTTTGTCGTCAACCATAATCTCCGACATCTCGTCGGCATACTCCTCGCCATCTCTGATTCTCCACTTGGCGAAGAGATCGTTCTGGATCCAGATGATCTTGCTGATGGCGCGAACCAGGGCGGTCTTGCGGGGGAGAGACAGGTGAGGATGTGACATGAGGGCTTCGGTGAAGATATCTTGAATAAATCCGAGGCAAGCGCCGATATGGATGTATTCGATGTTAAGCGAGTACAGACGTTCCTGGGCAGTGTGCATCATTCTATGACCGTTAGTGTCACATGATACTTTGTACACACTGACCGACTAAGAGATAGGAAGACATACCCAACTTTGTTCAAGTACCGCCAGAATTCCATCTGGGACGGGTCGGAACACAGCTTAATCAAGTACCAACGCAAAAACATCTTGCGACGTTGGATCTGGGGGCTTTCTTCGGTGAAGAACTCCTCAACGGGTGTATCGTCGGCGGTATCTCTCGTGTGGAAGGCACGAGCGGTGATGTCGGACTCGAGAAGTTTCTTATAGACGATGTTGACCACGGCAGGGATCAGGGCCTTGATATACTTGGAGCCTGCCACCAATGCCTCGACGTCACCTACATCCATGCGGTTAATTGATGATCGAAGGCAACGAGGATGGAAGTGGACGAACCTGAATTGAAGTCTAGAAAGTCTCGCAGGTAAGTGATGCGCGCCTCTAGGCGGGTGTACAGGGCTTTGCGGTCGACATGCTTCATTGGTCGATTGGGCTCGAGAGTGTATTCCATTTTGGGAACCTTGGCTTTGCAGGAGGGGTGTATGAGTGGATATTCGAGGAACAGGTAAGATAAAAGATGGCTCGGTTAGATCGAGAGGGGCGGTTGATTTCTTTTCACGAACCCCTGGGGTCAAAATGGAAGCTTGGAAGGTCGAAGATGGAAAAATGGGAGGACTGGGATTTTGTGGGAGGCATGGAGACATCATGCGATTATATAGGGTTGGCTAAGATGCATGGCCACTGGACTGGATATCAAATGGGAGACCCAACGCATGGATGTTAGTCAAGCAAGTCCGACATCCGACCCTCCTCCACGCGGGAAGGGGGGAAGAAGAGCGGACCCATCGTGATGGTGGGCACAAGGGAAAAAAGCAAGACAACGGGGTTTCAGGCTAGGAGAGGAAAGAGACCCAAGTTCCAACATCAGCCCAGACAGCGCGCAACGGCCACGGGGGATCCCGAACCTTGGCGATATTATTCCCTGCCGTCAGTATCTGGAGCCTTGAGGAGTCTTGGTGGTCTGATGCGGCCTTTAAACCGACTTAGTGCAGCTGATGCTGATGGTTTTTATTTTTATTCTTATTTTAATCTTTTTAGTTTGTTCGTCCTAACACGCTTACACAGTATCTATGAGATTATACCACCTTCTGCTTCAATTCTTTGATTACAGCCTGCTGTTCTGGCCGGGACAGAAACAAGAAAAGGCCGCTCGACCGGCAGTGTCGGGCCAGACTCTTCATGACAGTCTGGAGCCGTGGGGCAATTCGACGCAGCTGATTGACAGCCTACAAATTTTCTCAGTAATCGCGACACCAAGGAGGAACAGAAAAAAGCAAAAATGAATCAAAAAAAAAATTATGATGAGCAAGAGGGTCGACTAATTCAAGGCTCCAGAAAATTGACTTTGGAGAGAAGATGCTACTAGTGCAAACTGCAAAGGAAGCTGCCGAATGACACGCTCGCCCAAAGGTCGATGGCACAACCCAGGGAGGGTCCGCTAATTGATGGGCAGCTAATCGGAATGGCTGCAAATAATCTCGATGCTTCCCTGTAAGGGCGCTTAGGCGGGAAGAAGAGAGGAAGAAGGGGCAAACGCCTCAGAACATCGGGAATAACGCCCTCTCAGTCGTCATCTGGGCTCCAACCCTTTCTCCGCCGGGCTCAAAACGAGTCGGAGCCGATGCGCGACCGAGGCTAAACTTGGACCGCGGTCGTATTTCTCATCTTCACTACTTACTCGCTACGGAGTACCTACGGAGTACTACGACTTTCATCTTCGCTCGTGACCCCTGCCCCTGCTCTGTCTTCATGGAATGTCTAGATAGATGAGCGAGTCTGTGGTCAACCGATGCATCAATCTGATTAACCAGAATTCTGTCTCTCCTTGCGACCAAAGTCAGATATATTGCCCCGTATATTAATGTGAGGTATCTCTCTCCTCTGTCCAGCCCAAAAAGTGTCGAGGATGTGATCTGTCGGGACGGGTGACTAAGCTCGTATCCGATTGGCTGTGCTGCAGGTGATCGCGTCGAACCGGGTTCTCCTTAAAACATCAGGCCATATAGACATATTCCATCCAAACTCAACCAACTGAGGCCTTCCGTGGATCACACGACTCTCGGATTGCCCTTCCGTTGTCCCTCCTCGCTCTGACTGCAATGGCTGCTTCACCAGTATGCTATCCTCATCGTCATCGTTAGATGAAGTCTGACCCCTCACATCATCGCTGGGCACTTTCGCTTACCCGGCAGTTGAGAAGATCGTACGGAGTAGTAGTCAATCTTACAACCTCCTCCTATCTTAGTCTACCTACCTTGCCATCATCTGGCCTGAGACGCTCCACTACAAGCTATGATGTCAACCTAACCAATCACTACTTCAGCGTGCGTATGGCTCTATTTCTGCTCCAACGCCATAACAGTGTCTGCCAGTGCAGGCAATATTTTCTTCCTCCCTTCCTGTGGAGTCGTAATGCTAATGGAAATGGCGCCCCATAGTAGGTAGCCGTCCGCGTGGGCAAACCATCCCGGGCAACCAAATCATTCCCAGCTCCACAGATTACAAGCTTTCCGGATGGTCTTTTCCTTGCAGACCGTGGGTAGTCATAGTACTCACATCCATTCGCTTGAATACAACTTCCTTGAATGGCTACAGGGCCGTGGGCAACATACGAAGGAGGAGGTTCCCGTGTGTTCGAGGCCAGCCTCACAGACTTCCGGTCCGCTGCGGTCCAGTGCCGTTGAAACGAATGGGTCGGTCCACCCGCCAAATGGATACCTGCTACACAATTCGATACGCTCGTTATATCCGCCGGCAACTGGATTCCACTGACGGGTATTGTTTCCCCTTGGAAGTGGAATGGCTAATTTGGAGAAAAATCCCGTCACATCTGCGCCGACTCGGCCGGGCACAAAGGCCTGATGTCCGAATATGGTTATCTGACCCTAGTCCACTAGACGCTACGCATCAGCACATTGAATGTTGATTGCTTCCGAGATGCAGGCGGCCGCCAAGAACCGTGTGGTAGTCCCTACCGTTAACTGCCCATCTTAAGTAAAGATCCATGGTCTTTATTCGCTGATCAGCAACAGTTCCGTTCGCTAGATCCAAACCAGAGATCTCAACAAAGAACGTCGGACTCTTTTCCATTTGCCTTCCATTAGGGGTCCGCCTCCAATCACTTCTTGCTCTGTCATCCCAGTCCACCTACTGTCCTTGGTCCTGGGCTAGGTGAAACGAAGGCGAAATCACGGATTTGATCTACAGGCACATATTACAGGAGCGTCGGTACCGGAGAAAAGAGTCGCTACTCGCGTGCGCACTGACAGGTACGGTCACCGCTCTTTCTTTTGCTGATACTCGTGACTACAGATGAAGGCGCCGCTGTCGCCACGATCGGCATTTCTGAAACCACCGTTAAGCATGTTCTGCCATTGTCTTGATGGTCCGACTGATAGCAGAAGCGGAGTAGCAGTCGTACGTAGGGGTTATGTTACTATGGGTCTCCAATGCGTGGTTCCGAGTTCCGAGAGACTTAAGATCTGAACTTTTAGTAATGGCATCTACGGTAGTCGAGGTTTAAGGAGAGCAACAGCAAGCAGTCACAACATCTATCTAAATCGAGAGCGGAAGGGTGGGTAAAACGAGACATGAAGCTTCCACCCGAAAGTTCGTGAGGTCCTACCACAGCCTCCTCAACCACATGGTCCTTGTGCTCAGCCTTGACCTGCGTAGGCAGAAGTCTCATCCGCCGCCCTGTTCGGGAAGCCAGTAAGTAATGTCCGTCTGGACATGGCAAAGGAATATTCGCCAACCAAGTTGGCACAAACAAGGCCACACTAGCCGGGATGGCGGCGAGGCGGTCCGGATCTCTGAGCCGACTTAGCGTCGGCAGTTGGGTTGTTCATCGTCACCATGCTCAGGGGCAGGGCACTTTTTCAAATGTGGTGGCTCTTTAGTCCTCCGTTATCTTCCGTATAACTAGCAGCATTACTTTCTCCATAAGTGGCTCGGCCTGGTCCCCAGCCGGATACGTCAACCGGGCAATTCTCCGCATTAGTATCCGCCCCCTAGCCTCGAAGGAGAAAAAAACCGCTTCGAGTTCTTTATCCGAGTCCAATGAAGTTGACTCGAGCTCATAATTCGTCCAGGAGGTCTGTTAAACAGGCTTCTAGATGAATTAGGACTGGATTCCACCATTTAGTATAGAAGTAGGCATTCGGGTCTTGGGGGGGGCATAGTTCCCCTGAAATATAATCACAGTCCCCATATTGATTCGATTGGTGGTAGAGGTATGAGAGGATGGAGGATTCACCCCTAATCATTCAGGTGTTCGTCCACTTCAAGACACTATCGACCGTTGGAATCCACTGCGGCTGAGGTATGGAGTCCGGAGGAATAGTTAACTAAGGGAAAGCTGTTAGTCATTTAATTGCTGTTGCCTGACGCGAACTCCTGGGGCGTGCCTGGGAAGGAGGTTGAAGTAAGTTCCTTGGCAGGGTGGTAAGCCGGTCACTCGTTGGAACTCCTAATCTCGTACCATGGTCCAATTGGGGATATCTATGCGTCGTAATAATGAAGACGCAACTTGTTTCGGATTCCAGATTCAACTTGGATGCGTGGGGAGCAAAGTTCCAGCTTGGAAGGGGGCCACGTGATGGGGTGTCACCGGATCCGTCCCCGCCATGTTCTAGTTCTTCTACTTGCTCTTGGGCTTTTAACCTTTCCCTCTTCATTCCTTTCCTTCGATACTTACTTTCCCTGTCTTGGCTCGGCGCTATCCTCTGGTTATTGCCTTCCGGATCTGTATCCTCTTCCTCTGGATGCTCGCCGGATCGAGCATCACACAATGACTTGCCACGTTGCTCGCGCGGAGATGTTTCCCACCCCCAGAATAGTACGCAACAATAGGCATCGAACAGCTCCATGCGGATGAAGACGACGATGGTTGCTCATGACGATGATACCGCAGGTCATGCGCACTGCATAACAGTTGCATTGACCTTTGGCTACATGTAAGGCTACTGCAGCTATTAGCTGGGTTATTGGTGAAGATGTTACACCGCGGCAGAGTCTCTCTACCTTGCCTCCCCTGGCCTACAGTGGCTGTAAATGCCCAAAACGATGCAAATACCGCATCTGTGCCTTGAGAACGAGTCTTGGCTGCGCCGTTCCTTCCTCGACAACGCGAAATGAGTGGTAGGGTCCTCCCATCCAAACCATAGACGGGCAAGGACCTAGCAAATCTTGACTGCGAGTGTCCGGCTCACTCTTATATCACCAGTGCTCAGTTTCTCTCCTCCTTTCCACTGTTTATATTCCTCAAATCTATTGCACTGTCAGAGTGACTTCATTGCGCCTAAGTCCACGTATCCTGTATTTCCATGCAGCCGGCCTGAATCGATATCCAGCACATCAATAAGTCTTACTTCAGGGCTAGGTCTAGACAGCTTTCTGTTGTCATTGCGGTGCTGTAACGTTGTCGACGATACTGGAAAGTAGAGACAAACTGTTCTCCACATTTTCTATTGTGGATCATTCTCCTTCAACCTTATCTACTATCCTTACGAGCACCGCTTTGTCGTGCGTCTGCTTTCGGTGGGTCTCATCTCACGATCAAGTGCGGAGGTCGTGGTTGACTTGGAGATCGATATCTGCAAACAGACCAGTTGATATTAAGATTTCTGCAGATCATTTGGCGATCCAGATCTAGGAGACGGCTTGTTGGTTGCTTGCGGTCGATTGACAGCCAGCGTGTTCAGCCTCCTCTACTTAAAGCAGGCGAAGTCCATCCTATCCGGTGCTGGCTTCCCATAGACGGCAATATTCCATTCCAGCCTTCTGATATTCTTCGCTGATTCTTCTACGGAACCGTATCTTCATTATGATTGTGGAAGGTGTGAAGAAGGCGCTTTTGGCGTTGTCTCTTTTGGCTGCTAGTGCACAAGCCGTGCCACGAGTGTCAGTTGTGCCGGATACATCAAATCTATCCCTTCTGTTTGTGGTCGTTGACTTATTGTTGAGTATAGGCGCCGGCAAAGCAACGCAAGCTCTTTCGATTACAAGAGTCAGATAGTCCGCGGTGTCAATCTAGGTGGCTGGCTGGTGACCGAGCCATGGATTACACCTTCACTTTATGACAATGCTGGGGGTGGTGCGGTAGATGAATGGACGCTGTGTCAGACGCTGGGCCAGGACGAAGCTAAGGCCAAGTTGTCGTCTCACTGGAGCTCGTTCGTCACGCAAAGTGATTTTGACCGTATGGCTCAGGCAGGACTGAATCATGTCCGCATTCCTATTGGATACTGGGCTGTTGCTCCCATTGATGGTGAGCCGTATGTCAGCGGTCAGATCGACTATCTTGACCAGGCGGTCACCTGGGCTAGAGAGGCTGGTCTCAAGGTTGTCGTTGATCTGCATGGTGGTAAGTTGTGAGATTTCATGCGCAATTCATTTTTGGATTTCTGACAGAAACATAGCGCCGGGCTCTCAGAATGGTTTTGACAATAGTGGACACCGAGGCCCCATCCAATGGCAGCAAGGGAACACGGTCAACCAGACCATGACCGCATTTGACGCCCTTGCAAGGCGTTACGCTCAGTCCGATACCGTCACGGCGATCGAGGCCATCAACGAACCGAACATTCCTGGTGGCGTCAACGAGGGTGACCTTAAGAACTACTATTACGGCGCTTTGGCCGATGTCCAGCGTCTCAACCCTTCTACAACTTTGTTCATGTCGGACGGCTTCCAGCCTGTGGAGTCCTGGAACGGCTTCATGCAGGGTAGCAATGTTGTCATGGATACGCATCACTATCAAGTCTTTGACACCGGTTTGCTTTCCATGAGCATCGATGACCATGTCAAGACGGCCTGTTCTCTCGCCACACAGCATACGATGCAATCAGATAAGCCCGTCGTCGTGGGTGAATGGACCGGTGCTCTGACTGACTGTGCCAAGTACCTCAACGGTGTTGGTAATGCCGCTCGCTACGATGGCACATACATGTCCACCAACAAGTATGGTGACTGCACAGGCAAGAGCACGGGTTCTGTAGCTGATTTCTCAGCTGAAGAGAAAGCGAACACCCGTCGTTACATTGAGGCCCAGCTGGAGGCTTACGAGATGAAGAGCGGATGGCTCTTCTGGACCTGGAAGACCGAGGGTGCCCCAGGATGGGACATGCAAGACCTTCTCGCTAACCAACTCTTCCCTACCTCGCCTACTGATAGACAATACCCCCACCAGTGTTCTTGAACTATCAACTTTGTGTTTGAACGTTTGGATATTGTTCCAAGATATCCTTGGTCTTTCTTTCATATTCGTCGTGATTCATAAATGGGCTTAACCCACCTGGTACTGATGTTTACTGAGTCTTGCATTCCTTATTGTTATTATTACCTTTTCCTTTACACTACTTAGTAAAGTCAGTCTCGCATGGTAATTTCATTGCTCAGCTCTAAAATCAGAGCTACTATCTATGTAAGGGGTATTCAACTATGTAGAGTATGCTATCCCATAAGATGCAAGTTACTGTCCAGTAGACGGTATGACACACGGGCGAACACAAATGTCAAGTCACCAATCCCTCCCTTCCATCCCTTCCTACCATCCACAAGCCTCAACGTAAATCCAGATCTACAACAACCCCAAAGCCCCAAACGACGCAACCACCTCCCGATCAACATTAAGCAACCACTCCTCCTGGAACCTCTGCTCACCACCACACCCAACAATCAACGAATGCAGTCTCTCCCGAATAAAGTCCCTAATATTGACCTTGTGCAGCACATCCTCGTTATCCCATTCCCTACGCCGCACATTCTCCGGCGGCTCATGCTCATCAACAGCCCCCGTCTGGGCATTATTCCAGTAGATCAAGTAATCACTACCACCGCGGGGGTCGTCAGTATTAGCTCCGCTGCCATCGTCTGCGCCTTCGGCGAGTTCAGTGACGATGTCGGTCCACATGGTTAGATAGGACTGGAGGTTATTGAGAAGATAAGACGGGGGCTGAGAGTCCGGTCCGTTGATGGTAAGGAGTTGGGTGAGGGCCAGAGCGTGGAGTTTCTTCTGGGTGGAGCTGCCGATGTTGTCGTAGTGGAGGAACCATTCTGTGAGGAGCCAGGAGAGGACGGATTCCTCGGGAGTGTTGGTGGCGGCGGAGACGGCGGACGTGAAGATCTTGGGGTAGGCGAGGGCGAGACGCGCCAGGACGGAGAAGTAGTCTGTTTCGACGACGCCGTAGACGGAGGTTTGTTTGCGGTTCGGGCCGGTGGTTTGACTTGCTTCGTGGGCGGAGTGGAGACCTTCGAGTAGGGCGGGCAGGAAGGAGCTGTCGAGGAGGGAGCGTGTGATGATGCTGTAGGTGGTTTCGCTGCCGTTGTCGACGGTGTTGGCGCCGCGGAGGAGGAGTTCGACGAGACGGGGGACGACGCCGAGGCGTTGCTTGGTGGTGAGTTTTAGGAGGGTTTCGAAGGAGACGAGGAGGGGGAAGCGGATGCGGTCGCTGAGGATTTCTTGTGGGGCGAGCAGGATGTAGGATTCGGCGATTTGGAGGGCCTGGGGGACGCTGTCGGTCGCGGCTTCGAAGATGGGGAAGAGGGCTGGGATCAGCGAGAGGATTTCGGGGGAGGCGGGGGCCGGCGTTTGCATTAGGATGGCGGACCAGAGGTCGAGGGCTTCGTCGAGGAGGTAGATGAGGGTTTCCTGGGTCGTGGTGGTTAGATGGGTTGGGTGGGTTTGTTGAGGAAGGGGTGGGGGGAATGGCTTACAGAGCCTGGTTCCACGGAGTTATGGATGAGAGGCAGAATCACGGAGTGGTATCTGACGGATTCCTGCTTGAGGGAGTGGATCAGGGATGAAAGCAGCGTTAGGATGGCTTGCTTCATCAGATGCTCCTCGCCGGAATTCTCCCATAGTGGGGGCAGTAAGGACAGGATGTGGTCCGAGAAGGGTGCGATCTAGTCGGTTGTTAGAGTCGTGAAAGCAGGTAGGGTGAGGATGGCACTTACGTGGTCTTCCATCTTCACAACTGCCATACGGACTGTGTCGAGAAGTCCCATCTTGGTCTCTGAAAGTTCGACTTCTTGGACAAGGGCCATTAGGCCTTGCAGAATGGCCGGTGCATACGGCAGGAACTCAGTAGGGGAGAACTCGAACGGGTCGAGCACGTTCTTGAGCTGCCGTCCGGCGGTAATGCGGACCACCAGGTCGTTCAACGGATCTTGCTTGCTGAGAAGATGCTGGAAGATCTGGTAGATAGCGTTCCTGTTGAGCTCACTGGACTTCACGGGGACCCACTGGCCCAAGACGATGGCTATACGTCTCCGGAGGACATTGTATCCCTGCCTCTGGATTTGGACTTCGGGCACAAGTGTCGTCTCCAGGAACTTGTTGAAGTCCAAATGTTGCTCCAGACTGGCTGCAGACAGGCCAATGGCAGCGTACAAGGAATCCTTCAACAAGACGTCGTGGTTCTCAGGGCCTGTTGATATCGTTAGTGAGATGCTTTCGAAAAGAGTTGATGACGGATGCTTACTTGCGAAGTTGTAGAAGACGGTCAAAAGACGCGGAATAAGCAACTCCTTGAAGTGGATGACGAGGTCAAGGAAGAGCTTCTCGGAGCACGACCGGATGGAGAATTCCCAGGCCTCGGCAATATCTTCCTCCTTCCTCTCCCATTCTTCAGGATCTTCCTCCCACTCCTGGAAGTCGTTCGTCCTGAATCGGAAGAACTGGGTGACGAGAAGCTCCATGACGTTGACGACAAAATCATGGGTAAACAGCTGCGCCTTGATGAGTTCCACGGACTGTTTCTTCTCCTCCTTGTCTTGCGGTGTCTGGTATTTGAATGTCTGCGCCGGGTTGAAGGCCATCTTGGAGCAAGCCCTGATCAGAAGGAGAGCCCTGAGGCCAGTCTTCTCCATCAGGGACTTTCCCTCTGGCTCACCATCCCCGCCCAATCGACTGTAGTTTTCTCCCAACTTGACTACTAGGGTCCAGTAGGACTGGACAAGCGGTATACTGTCCGGGAGCAACGCGAAAGATGCAGGGCGATCCTTGGCCATTTCGACGTGAAGCTTGGAGAGTTGCAACAAGTGTTTCTCGACTGCCCTATGAATTTGCTCCGACATTGTGACGGAGCCATTGATGAATCCCAGGAATCTGCTGAAGTGGGTATGGGTCAGGACCCAGAAGTCAGAGACATCCTTATCGCGATTGGGGTGTTCGTATCCGGCGATAACGAGACGTCGGATGACCTTGAGAGAGACCAAGCTTTGCTCGATCACCTCTAGCAACGATGCCTCATCATAGCCCCCTTGTTCCAGGTTAATAGCCCAAATGCTCGCCTTGTTCACATATATGCTCCCCAACAGATGGAAAATTTCTGGAGAAACAGATTGTAGATTCGCGCGGGTTCTCTGCAGACGGGCCGTTGACAATTCTTTGATAATCTGTAGGAGGATGATAAGGGTCCGGGGCAATTGCAACGGGTTCGCGTCACGCTGGGTGGACGAGCGGAGGAGGGCAATGAGTGAGGTGATAGCATCCGGCCTAGACATGGTTAATAACAATGCAAGGTAAATTTCCAGCGCGTCCGTACTCACCAGTCCTGAGGGAATTCATAGCGCATGATCTTAGCGATCATCAACGCATTGTGAAGAGCCAAAAGAGGAGCCGGCTCGACGACACCCGCCTCTAAGGCCCTAGTCTTTATACGTTCTTTTTCTTCCTTTTTGATGGCACTTGAGGAGGTCAGTCTGTTGTTGCGCAACGTATCGATCCCAGGGGGGGTAAGGACGCGCATACTTTGTCGCAGTCTTTCGCCAATACTTGTCGATGCCGTTCTTCAACTGGATAATGGAGAGGTAGCGAACTTCAGGGGGAACAGAGTGGTCCAGAAATACATCCTGCACTGCGTGAGTATAGAGTGGTAGAGAAAAGCAGAAGGTGGAGGGAAGCTGAGGTATATACCTGAAGCGAGGTATAGTAACCCTCCTGCTTCTCCCAATTCTGGAGTTGCTGGGTGCCCGATTGCACCTGTTGCTGAGTTGAGCTAGCTGCAAGAACCAGTGCATTAAGAACATTATGCGGGGTCAGGGGGTTGGCCTCCCCAGCCAACTCAACGATTGGGGCCATTGTATGGGATGTATAATTGTCGGCAGCTCGAAGCTGTCAAGGAGGGGGGTGTATCTACTACTACAAAGTAGTAGTTCGGAAGGTAATTGGATCCAAACCGAAGAACGGCCAGAACAGGGCCTCTGATCACTTAATATATAAATGGAACAGAGATATAGGCTTGGTGCCTCAAATCCCGGCTGTCGACACGAAATCGGATCCTTTGATGGGGAAGGGAGCGAAGCAACAATGAAGGCCAAGGCAAGCTTCGCCGCCAGTCATCGGGCTTCACGGATTCTCTCTTTCGGGTTTCCCCGCCGAGGAGGGACCATCCGGGCCATGGTTGTTCCTTTCCAGAAAACCCTAGGGCCGGACCCTGACAGCTAGTCCCGATCGGTCATGGCTACTTAGGGCTGGATTTAGTGGTAGAGCCTGAGGTTTGATGTAACGGGGGTGATGATATCATATCCCAACTGGCCACCTCTTTGAGTTGGATGTCGAGACCAGGTTCCAACAGTAAGAAATGGGGTTCAACTGGAGACTCCTGCACTACTCGTTACATATCTATGATGTAGGATGATGCAATACTTATAGTGTCCCTGACGACGAAGACATTGAAGATGGCACATATATAGTTCGGTCTTTTGTTGCTACTTACTTTGTAGCATTCACCATTAAAAAAACTCTATCAAATCTCCCGTTAATCGTTCAAAAACAAACTCTATCACTATCACAATGAACGACTACGACAAGGTTCGCATCGCTTACGATGCCGAAAAGGACCTCAACTCCTACCAGGCCAAGCAGGGCCTTGGTCCTAAGAGCGATTCCAGTATGTTTCTCGTCTAGAGATCACACACCACCCTTTGCGACAACCATGTACTGAACAATTGCAGCCCTTGAGTCTGGGGTGAACGAGATGGTGGACAGGAAGTTCGAGACAGGCATCCGTACTGGCAGAGAAGCAGGCGCGTCCGGCAGCGACCGCAAGCCCATCCCAGAAGATGAGGGAGGCAGTCGTGATGATCGCGGCCGGTGAGTTTTTGTCACCCAAACAGGTCATCCATCAAGTATGGGTTGTACTAATGTGACCTGGCTCTCCAGACTCGCAAAGGCTGGACAATACAACGGCCCTG